AAAAAAATAAAATTAAGACTAGGAATGAGGTGCACCTGGGTGGTTCAGTCAGTTAAGCATCCAGCTCTTGGCTCAGGTCATCATCTCACAGTTTGGGAGTTTGAGCCCCATGTTGGGCTCTGGGCTGACAGTGTGGAGCCTCTCCCTCTCTGTCTGCCCCTCCCCTGGGTGCATGTATATGAGCACCCCCCCCCCCTGTGTCTCTCAAAATAAATAAACACTTTTAAAAAAACTAAAAAAGCAATAGAAATGAAAGGACAGAAATTAACTAAAAACAAAACAAAAACCCAATCTTCTCCCCCACGGTCCTCCGTTAAGTTTCTCCTAATCCTCCTATACGTCCAAACATATGGTATTTGTCCTTCTCTGCCTGACTTATTTCGCTCAGCATAACACCCTCAAGTTCCATCCATGTTGCTACACATGGCCAGGTTTCATTCTTTCTCATTGCCATGTAGTATTCCAGTGTATAGAGAAGAAGGGGAAAAATAGTGGGGGAGAGGGAGGGAGGCAAACCATGAGAGACTCTTGAATGCCAAGAACAAACTGAAGGCAGATGGGGTGGGGGGAGGGGAAGGGGAGTGATGGGCATGGAAGAGGGCACTTGTGCGGATGAGCACTGGGTGTTATATGGAAACCAACTTGACAATAAACTATTAAAAAAAAAAAACCAGGAAACCTACCTGAAACTGTACCAAAACCTACATTTAGCTGACTTTCAGAGATGCTGTCACTAAAGTCAGAAACAGAATAAGGATCATCGTAATTTTCAATGGTAAATGAAATAGAGCAACCCATGCAGTGAGATGAGATCAGGGGTTAAGGTATGTAAGGGTGGAAAGAGATACTAAATTGTCATTATTTGTGCCTAGTGTCATTTCCTACATAACAATTGAAGACATTCAATAAAGTTGATGAATTTCCTCAGAGTTGCTGGATCTACAACCTTGATGTATGAAATTTTACAACATTTCTCCCATTATTCATAATGAATCAGAAATAATAGAAGGGAGAGATAATTAATCAAAGAAATAAACCCTACAATACACCTGGGAATGGATCTAAAAATTATGCTGGACCTTGTGGATTAAGGAAGAAATTTGTTGAAGGTCTAAAATAAGAACTGAATAAACAGAGAAGAAATGTTTATGTGTGGGAAGACTCATTAAGGTCAAGATTATAACTCATTAAAGGATCATTTTATAAATTCGATGTAACTATAATGAAAATTCCAACATGATTTGTTAAGTTTATTTATTTATTTTGAGAAAGAGAGAGAGAGTGTGCGTGAGTGCAAGTGGGGGAGAGGCAAACAGAGAGGGAGGGAGAGAGAATCCCAAGCAGGCTCTGCACCGTTATAGTGGAGCCTGACTTGGGTCTTGAACTCATGATCCATGAGATCATGACCTGAGCCAAAGTCAAGAGTTGGAGGCTTACTGGACTGAACCACCCAGCTGCCCCTAACAATTTTTTTAAAAAACAACTTGACAAAGTGATCCTATAGTTAATATATTAGTAGAAAGTTTCCAGAAGAACCAAGAATGTTTTTTAAACAATAATAGGAGTCATCCAGACTAGGCATCAAAATGTTATTGATTATATTATTATTATTGTTACTGTTATTGTTATTATTTGTAGAGAGAGAAAAGGAGCAGGGAGAGGGGGAGAAAGAAATAAACATTTAAAAATTTTTAAATGTTTATTTATTTATTTTTTAGAGAGAGAATGAGAGAGAGAGTAAGGGAGGGGCAGAGAAAGAGAGAGGGATAGAGAGAATGCCAAGTAGGCTCTGCACTGTTAGTGTAGAGCTGGACACAGGGCTCAATCTTACTAACTAAATCATGAGATCATGACCTGAGCCAAGATCAAGAGACACTTAACTGACTGAGCCACCCAGGTGCCCCGAGAGAGAGAGAGAGAGACAGAGACAGAGACAGAGGAAGAAACTCCAGCAGGTTTCACACTCAACATGGAACCCAATGTAGGGCTCAATCCCACAATCCTTGGGATCATGACCTGACCCGAAATCAAGAGTCAGGTGCTCAACCAACTGAGTCACCCAGACACCCCCTGATTATAATAATTAATGGAATATAATGTTACTACAAGAATAAACAAATAGCTTAATGGAACAGAACAGAATATCTGGAAGGAAATCTGTGCATTTGTGAAAATTGTTATACAACAAAGAGGAATTTTTACAATTGCTTAGGGCAAAACTCGAATTAATAATGAAAGTGATTGGCTTTATTATTTTTTTTAAGTTCACACAACCTTTACTGAATTTAACAGTAACCTTTAACATAATGTATTAGTCAGGTTTGCCAGAGAAACAGAACCAGTAAGTTCCTTCCTTCCTTCCTTCCTTCCTTCCTTCCTTCCTTCCTTCCTTCCTTCCTTCCTTTCTTCTTCTCTTCTTTTTTTCTTTCATTCCTTTAAGATGAGGAATTGGCTTGCATAGTTATGGAAGCTAAATCCCATAATCTGCAGTCTGCAAGCTGAAGACGGGGAAAGTC